CAAGCTTGTGGTTTCTGCAGCTGTTCTTAAAAAGAAGTTCACATTCTCAAGCAACCTTCCTGACAAAAAGAGAACTGGCCAAAGAAAAAGAATTTGCTTTGCATAATCCACCTGTACATCTTTACAATGCCTCTGAAGACATAAAGGGAAAATACTGTCAGAAATATTATTGGCATACCTTTTGACAAATCAAAATTATTAAAAACTAATAATACTGAAGCAGGAAACTCAGGTCTTTGTTACAAAAGTAAAGCAACTTGTAGCATGTAAAGGTTCGCGTTTTTGGTTATGCATGGAGTGAGACAAACCATGAGTCTAGGTTCGAAAAGAACGCTAAACCAAAGAAAGGCTTAGTTCTAGGCTAAGGAGAAAAGGAGGAGCTAAGGGGTAGCTATTTTTCCTGTGAGTATCCACATGATAGTGCAATTGCTAACGTAGTAGAAAAATCAGCTAGAGAACTAGTACGGCCTAGAGCAAACAGAGGAAGCACAAAGGCAGCCTTTTAATAAATGGCTTACACCAAAGTCAGACTTCATTTATCACATTTGTATTCCATTCCTCCTCCTAACAGCTCAGGTTACATGGCGTTATCTCATGCTTTCCTAATATCAGCCCTGAGAGGAAGTCTGGGACTGGCCCAAGGCAACTTAGTGGTCAAGAAAGAATATGAAATCAGATTCAAGTCTATTCTTCCATCCAGCATATGACTTGGGCTCTTCAGTCAGTACAGTGTGATCTGGGAAAGAGCTAGTCATCATCATCAGCTACGTGCAGCAAGAATGCCTAATAACAGGAGAGAGAGAAATAAAATTTGTGGAATACGGATGAGAGAGGAAACTGTTTCTAACACAAACATTCAATGACCATTGTCACAGTACTTTCCAGGTAGTATTCTGGTCCACAGCATGATGAAATAGAGTACAGTGGTACCTCTGGTTACGAACTTAATTCGTTCCAGAGGTCCATTCTTAACCTGAAACCTTTCTTAACCTAAGGAACCACTTTCGCTAATGGGGCCTCCCGCTGCCACTGCCACGCGATTTATGTTCTCATCCTGGGGCAAAGTTCTTAACCCAAGGTACTACTTCCGGGTTACCGGAGTATGTAAACGGAAGTGTTTGTAACCCAAGGTGTTTGTAACCCGAGGTGCCACTGTACAGCTGCACCCCACTAAACCATGCAAAGCTTAGCTGCACATTGCATGATGGGAAAACACATTGTAAAAATGTTTGCTCAATTTATGATGCCACACTAGTTAATATTTACCACAAAGCCCTAAAAACAGTCAGTCACATTCTTCAGCACCTTTTAAAATGTGACTTTCATCTTACATGTAAGTATTTTCTTGAACCACACACTTCTATAATAACTGGCTTGATTATTTTAGTTTAATGTTTACTACTGTATCATTTTTGTGTATGGCACCTAAAGTACTTTTGACAGATGGTTGGGATGTAAATTATGAAAATAAACAAATAGGGGGGAACTTGCAAGCCATACATATTCATCTGTTCTTGCTGTGCATAGATGCACTGGAAAGCCACAACTGAATGGTGCCTCTTAGGGCATGTACACCAAATGTGCATCTGCAGACATCACACGCACCTAACGTATGGTTTTCCTCCTTTCCCCCATATACTTAGCACTCACATGACTGAGAATGTGTGTTTTTGTGTGTCTGTTTCAGTCAATAGCCAGTAAACAATGAATGTATATGAAGTGTCTGAATACTCTAAAATGCTATTATTATGATTATGTTAGTACTATGATATGTGAAGGAAGACTATCACCTTTGAAGTGGCTCTTAGAAAGCAACTATTGGTGATTTTCTTTCACTTTGATACAAATAGTTGAAGAAGAAATAGCACACATTTCAGGATGTTTGAATGTAAACAAGAGAAACACTAAATCAACCTTACCCTCTTAGTTTTGATTTTCTGAAACACATTTTTATTCTTTTTAGACATCAGCAATTCATGTGAGCACCAGTGCTGAGATTTATAGTATGATACTATGCATCCTTACTCAAAATTCAACTATGTTTAATAGGGCCCTAGTAAGTGTTCATAGGATGGGCAGATCACATCACAAACCAGTACCTGTCTATACCATTATTTTAATAAATTTATTGCTCTCTGTTCCACTAAAATAAGTTCATAAAGCAGCAAATTTCACATACAGCAAAAATGTAAATAGAAGCAATCCGTAACAATTGAAATACAAATGAAACTGAAAAGACAAAAACAAATTGCATCAAGATAATCACTTAATAGCCAGGAAAAAACTTTCTATAGCAATGTTGTCCCAGGCCTGGCAGCAGAATGAAAGCAAAGAAGCGGTTTGATAGATATTTCTCAGAAGAGAATTCCAGAAGATATTAGCCAATTATTAGTCCTAGTCAGAGCAGATGTGTTGAAATTAATGGGCATTAATTAATTCAGGTCCTTTAATTTTAACAGGTCTACTCTGAGTACAACTCAGTAGAACCCAAAGACTGAGTACAATACAGAAGAGTCCCTTTTCAGTTGACCTAGCCAATGAACCCACAGTACTTCTGTTCCAAGCCTCTTTGATTGGTCCACTGGGAAGAAATTCTTCCTGTGCATTTCTATATAAGCCAAAAAGCCCTTCCAATAGGTAATACATCTACTACAACAAAGGTCATTATTTATATACCGCCCATTTGCCCCAGCCACTCTAGGCAGCTCCCAACAAAATAGTAAAAACATCAAATGAACATAGTACAGTGGTACCTCGGGTTAAGTATTTAATTCGTTCCGGAGGTCTGTTCTTAACCTGAAACTGTTCTTAACCTGAAACACCACTTTAGCTAATGGGGCCTCCTGCTGCTGCCATGCCACCGCTGCATGATTTCTGTTCTCATCCTGAAGCAAAGTTCTTAACCCGAGGTACTATTTCTGGGTTAGTGGAGTCTGTAACCTGAAGTGTCTGTAACCCAAAGTGTATGTAACCCGAGGTAGCACTGTATGCATGCGCATTCAACTGCCTCCCTAAAGGTATCCGTGTCACCCAGGAAATGGCAGCCGCAGTCTGGAAAGGTCCCTTCCTGGTTGACATGGAGAAGCTGTTTTCAACAAAGCCCAGTGACGGAAGCACGCAGCTGTGTTGAGGCAGCATTGGGTGTTGAAACTTTGAGCCTAGGGCAACTGCTCCTGTGCCCCCACCCCCACACTACACCATTGGCCTGAATTCTAAAGGGAGACCTCGCAGAACCAGGTGGTAAAATGTTTCCTGCATGATATTGGTGGCAGGGAGGAAAGTGACTATGTTTGAATTGTTCTCAAAGAAGCTACCAAACCATCCAGCTCATCACTGCGCCCTATCCTAGCCACCAGGACCTCTCCAAAATCATAGAATCGTAGAGTTGGAAGGGACCCCGAGGATCATCAAATCCAACCCCCTGCAATGCAGGAATATGCAGCTGTCCCATAGGGGGATCGAACCTGCAATCTTGGCATTATCTGCACTATACTGTGACCAACTGAGCAATCCATGGTCCCAGACAAAAATTTTTTTTGCTTAGTGGGGAAGAATTCAAACATGTTATCTTCCTACTTGTAGCTTGAAGTAATACCGCCCAGGAAAAGAATTACCACTTGATATTTACTGGTGTGACTAGCATACCCAAAAACCAGCACGTCTTTATTTTTTTGCTGTACTGCATGCTCTGCTTCCTTTACTTCTTTACACACGTAAAGGTAAAGGGACCCCTGACCATTAGGTCCAGTCATGACCGACTCTGGGGTTGTGGCACTCATCTCTCTTTACTGGCCAAGGGAGCCAGCGTACAGCTTCCGGGTCATGTGGCCAGCATGACTAAGCCGCTTCTGGCGAACCAGAGCAGCACACGGAAACGCCATTTACCTTCCCGCCGGAGCAGTACCTATTTATCTACTTGCACTTTGACATGCTTTCGAACTGCTAGGTTGGCAGAAGCAGGGACCGAACAATGGGAGCTCACCCCATCGCGGGGATTTGAACCGCCAACCTTCTGATCGGCAAGTCCTAGGCTCTGTGGTTTAACCCACAGGTAAAAAGGTAAAGGTACCCCTGCCCGTACGGGCCAGTCGTGTCCGACTCTAGGGTTGTGCGCCCATCTCACTTAAGAGGCCGGGGGCCAGCGCTGTCCGGAGACACTTCCGGGTCACGTGGCCAGCGTGACAAAGCTGCTCTGGCGAGTCAGCACCAGCGCAGCACACGGAAACGCCGTTTACCTTCCCGCTATAAAGCGGTACCTATTTATCTACTTGCACTTAGGGGTGCTTTCGAACTGCTAGGTGGGCAGGAGCTGGGACCGAAAGACGGGAGCTCACCCCGCCGCGTGGATTCGAACCGCCAACCATACGATCGGCAAGTCCTAGGCACTGAGGTTTTACCCACAGCGCCACCCGTGTCCCGCAGGTACCTGGCACCAAATCCAGGACCATTTTTGCTGCTGCTTCTCCTTCAGATAAGTTTTTTTGCTTGATATTTTTTTTTCTCCCAAGCATACAATATGTTAATTTGATGAAACATTTATTTGGCGCCTTATTAAAAAAACAAAAACCTTTTTTAAAAAAACAACAACAACTTTGAACTACTCTTGAACGGATTACGGGAGTAACTCTGCAATTGACATGACTGTCACAAAGGTGAGCCAATCAGCAGTCTCCACAGCCAGATTATCATGGAAAGAGAAAGAATTGGTTGTTCCCACCTGAGGAATGCTAACTTACACACACACACACACACACACACGAAAAAGGCAATTGTGGATGCACACCTTATGCAGCTTTCAACAAGAGATTTCAACCTATCCTGACAAAATCTCAAGCCTATTTCCATATCTGCCTCTTTGAATGAAAGTCTACTGCCTCTAATCTCCTCCATCATTTTATTAATGATTTCTCTTCTTGCATTTGGCTCTCCTTTCTACCACCAAGTTTTGCAAATGCTAAAGAAAATGAAGAGATGCATAACTGTAACGATACCAGCTTCATTAGCAAAGATACATGAATTTTAGTTTTTATTTTGTAAATTTGTTTTTTGTGTGGATTCCAGTTTAATCCACACAAAAAACAAATTTACAAAACAAAAACTAAAATTCATGTATCTTTGCTACTGAAGGATGAGTATGAAAGTAGTTTTACTTTCCAAGGAAAATGTTCAGCGAGTGGGATGATGGACAAATACAAATAAATTAAGTTTTGTAGCAAAGTCTCAGAGCCCCGTGCCTTCAAGACATCAGAAAGGAAACATCCCAAAGAGATTTAGTGATTTCATCAAAGGTCCCACCAGGGATTGCAGAGACAATCTCTCACCAGGGAATACAAGGAACAGGTTGTTCAATTCCTGTTTGGTCCCAAAGGACACGACATCTCAGCCTCTCCCAATACTAGGGTGCAACTTTGAACAATATTACTTAAATTTCTCATTAGGACTGCTCAAAACAACTTAGCAGTACCACTGTTCCGCCTTGGAACTTTATGCAAAATGACAGGATAATACATGTATTATTAAAATATACAGGCAACACCTTTCAGTAAATGACAGCTGTCATTCTATGCATCACTTACATACTATGAGTAAACCCAACTGAACAAAGTGGGACTTATTTCAAAGAAAACAAGAACAGGACAGTCATTTTACTAAAATATGGTGTTCCAAACTAACAGCAGTCGACAAGTACACACTACTTTTTTAAAAAAAGAGGGACCTCTTTTTCAAGTTAAGTCAAGAAGCGCTGTATCACTGACACAACAATCCTGCACATTTCCCTTGCAGCATCAGGATAACATCACTGCAATGCTACCAAAGCATTGCAGTAACAAGGATACAATGGAGAAGCAGGCCATGATTCTTCATCCTAAGAACATGTTTTTGGCTCAGCTAAAACCTAGTTCTCACTAGATGTGGTAAATCTGTGTCTGGGCTATAACTGCTTTAGATGGGTGAAGAGCTGCTCATCACTGAATGGTTCATACCACGACCAACAAGATCCCAGGCATGTACCTCCAGATGGTGGAGACGTCAGGCACCATCCTGGCACCCAGGCATCTTCACTTGGTCGCAAGTGGTCGAAAGCCAGGTGCAAAATGCACCTGGCAACCGCCTAATTTTGAACACTGCCAACAACAACAACAAAACCCTGTTTCCACATAGAAAAGCTGATGTCAAAGGGTCTCCCAGTTCTAGCTTTGCCAAGACATGGGTTCACAACCACAGTGAGAAATATGCCTAAGTCTAGGGATCAAACTAATAAATTTGAAAAATCTATGCAGGCTAGCAAATACAGTGGTGCCCCGCAAGACGAATGCCTCGCAAGACGGAAAAACCGCTAGACGAAAGGGTTTTCCGTTTTGAAGTTGCTTCGCAGGACGAATTCCCTATGGGCTTGCTTCGCAAGACGAAAATACCTTACGAGTCTAGAGATTTTTTTCGCTTTTCCCCTTTATCTAATCTGCTAAGCCTTTAATAGCCTTAATAGCCTTTAGCAGCTAATCCCCTAAGCCTTTAAGCCTTTAATAGCCGCTAAACAGCTGATAGCGCTAATAGCGCTAATCCGTCAATGGGCTTGCTTCGCAAGACGAAAAAACCGCTAGACGAAGACTCTTGCGGAACGGATTAATTTCGTCTTGCGAGGCACCACTGTACTTACTTACTTACTGTTTTCATTTATTTCATATTTCCTCCAGGGAGCTCAGAAAAGCATACATTCCCCACATTTCATCTTTACAACCATGGTGCAATGTAGCCAAAGCTGAGAGGCTGTGACTGATCCAGTCCATCAATCACATTGACACTAGACTGGCTCTCAGAACATCTAACCCTGCTGTCAAGAGTAGCATCGCAAATATCAAATGCCTCACCAGTCTCAGACGTTCCCAACTTTATTTAAAGTTTTGAGCAATTATCATAAAGGCAAGTCAATACAGAGAAAACGCTTGGTATATTATAAAAAATGGTTTCACCAGCCATCAACAAGGTATGATTTATCCCCCCCCCTTTTTTTTACATTCTGTTTGGGAGTGTGTGGGTTTCCCTTTGACTTCTTATAGCATTTAGACCGAGAAGCTTATTGATCAATACGAAGAAATCCATTCCGATTACCAGTAAAAAGTCATTGGTACAAGACATAAAGAATTCCCCAAAGAAGTGATCAAAATGAAGAGGATTAAGGCTGCGTAATGAGACTACAAGTTCACAGGGAGACAGCGACAACAGAGTGAATGAGAAGTGACTCTAATGTGACTTGCCATGCCTCTTCTATTGCGACTACCACTGCAAAGTCACAAAAGATCTGTGTCTGCTCTGCACACAGCAAAAGAGAAGGAACGGATCAGCTGGCAGCAACGATAGTTGTCGCTTTTACAGCACAGAAAGCCTTGCTCATTAATTGCTTTCATTAGCAGATTTCATTTGTGTTTTCTAATCCACTTCAGGGTTAGAAGATGCCCTTGCTTGCCCTAGGTCAAGAAGCTGTGGGTGATGATTTTCCAGATTTGAAATTAATGAGTTGTTTTGCTGGTTGCAGTGTTAGGAGACTGGCAATGAATTGACATTTTGCTACAATAGTGGGGGAAGTACAAAAATGTCATCAAAATCACAGCTTGTATAGTATCAGTCTAACGAATGCCAGTATATCACAGCAGAGATGCTTCTTATCTGCGGTGTTTCTTACCATGTACTGGTAGCAGACCAGGTCTATAACCATTCTTTAGTATGTAAACTTCATACTCCATGTGGAATCCCAGGTTATTGGAAAACACTTCTCTCAATGATAAGTCCCATTTCAGTATGCATCACCCTGTACTACACGTACACTTTTTAAGTCACTAGTCCACAGGGACAGTGTACACAGTTTGCAGGTTCCAAGTCTCCCCCTCCAAGACAGACACACAAACACAAAGCCATGCAGGCTTGCTGTGTACCATTTTTGTAAACTCTGGAATGCTTACCGAACACGTCTCATAGCTCAAAACATACAGCGCTGTGGCGGTCACAAAATCAAACAAGGTGGGTAGTTGCTCTTTCACCCTGGGAATTCAGGGCCTCCCGATTTGCTTTTTAATCGGCAAATATTTACAAGCCCTCTGCAAAACATCACTACCTCCCGGCGGCATAATTCGGAAGGTGGCAACACGGACGCAAAACAATGAAAGGAGGAGTAGGGAGAGATGGATTGAGTTTCCAACTCTCCTTCGATACTAATCTCTCCCTAGCCCCGGAATTGCACCAAACTTGGTCATGGTTGCAGGAATGCACATGACTCATGGCCGTATTGTGGATGGATCTGCAAAAGAGGCAGGTGGGCTGGACTGTGCGTTGTGTGTGTGTGCGCGCGTTTCTGTGCGTGAGCGCCTCGGAGGGAGGGCTGGGGGGGGGGGAGAGCGAAAAAGCAAACTGCAGTGCGTGGGACTAGACCCAAGGGGAGTCGTAGCTGGGGTTGGACGGCGCATCCTCCCGATCGCCACCCATGCAAAACAGTGGGCAGGCGCAGAGAACTTCTGGGGGTGAGAGGGTCAGGGGCGGCAGCCCCACAGCCTGCCTGCACACAGGGGGAGAGGGAGGAGCTGCAGATCATCTTCCCTCCCTCCCCCATCCCCCGCTTGCTCTCCTCCCCGAGCCTTGCGCTTTAAGGGGGAAGCTTTGCGCTGCAAGGGGAACCTGCGGGGCATCCCTGCTCGGCTCCACATGGGCATCCTCTCCCTCCTTGCAACTGCGCAAGGGCACCATCACACGCAGCACCCCCTCCCCAGGCGCCCAGCTCTGCTTCCCAAGGACAGAGCCTCGCCAACGCCATGACAGTGTCTGAGAGGAGAAACTAAGCGCTTGGCAAGACCCCCCCCTCCCCGCCCGCCCGCCGGCCGAGCCCGGGCCGCCTGACCAGCCGCCGGCTCCTTGGCCCCTGCCGCCTGCCCTGCCCGGCGAGCGCAGAGTTCATTCATAGGCTGGCCCCGCGCCGCCTTGCGCACCCCGCGCACCCCTCACTCGCGCACGGCGCGCCAATAAAAAGTTCAGAGCCCAACTTACCTAAAATGGCTCCTGCAGCAGCCAAAATACAAACAGCTATTATTTGGTGAAGTTTAGCCCAGACACCCTGCAAGGACAGCCTAGCCTGGCCCCGGCACGCCCCCGCGCTGCAGCCACTGGCCACCCGCAGCCCCCCGGCGCCTGCCATTGGAGAGGCGGCCCGTCAGCCAAGCGCAGCCCGCTCCAAGCTTGGCTGCAGCGCGCTTATTGCTAGCTCCATTGTGCTCCTATTTGCATTGATGTGATCGCTGCCGGGATTGGCTGTGGCGAGGACCGAGCATTCCCCCCCCCCGCACCCTCCCCGCAATTCCTTTTGCCTCCCGGATCTGCAGCCCCGGTCCTTCTCTGCCCTGCCTCCCGCCCCCTTCCAGCTCTCCAGCTCGGTTGCCCAACGCAACTGTAGCTGCAACTTTCCAAAGGCTAGCAGAGGAGGAAAGGATTTCGCCCCCCACTCCCGTATCCTCCAATCAAGGGGTTTTTTACTTACTTCAGCCAGCATTAAAAGCGGAGGAGAAGAAGGGAGGGGAGGAGAAGCGGGGGAGAACCTCTCCCCCTTTGCATTCCACGTCTTTGCTCGCTTTTCATGTCCCGGATGTGAGATTTCCTGCATTTAAAGCACAGTGTCTGGAGGTGGAATGTGCAACCTCCGAGCAGGACGATGCAGGTCTTTTTTTGTCGCGTGTGGGAAGGAGAAATGGGCACAATACTGGGGTGAGGGGAAGGATGCCAACTTTCCTTGTTCTAAGAGATGTGGGGTAGCGCCAATCTAGACGAGCTATTCCTTAGCGTAGCTTTCCTCTCCTCCCCCTCAAAAAAAAAAAAATCTGTTGAGTAATGGCTGCAGTGGGAGTTAATCAAACACATTCTGAAGACCTTTCTTTTGCTAACTGGTTTTAATGTTCTTTTATTGGTTCTAGGCTAATGTGCGCAGTTGATACGCGGGTTGAATGGTGCACCTATGGAACATTCCTGGAAAAGAAACATTGAAATAAGACCTCTTGCCTTCTGCCAGTTACGTTATTTTCTTTCCCCCATATGTAGGCTGGTGAGTAGGGTGTTACTCTTTGGAAAATATGAACAAGCTGATA